TCTGGTTCGGAATGCGCCTCAGGTGAGTGAGATTGACCGATTTTTTTTAAGGATCACTTCCGTGCATTCCAAAGTGACCCTTGAAATAGCCAACGCTTGATTTTAGGTGCAAAAAGTATTAAATGATCTATGCGGTAAAATGTGTAGCTCTTTGGGAGAGCATGCTAATTTCTCACGTCTTGCGGTCGGTATATCTTTGATATTTGTTGATGAAATACTTTGGGCTCCTAATCTATGAATGTTCTAGAACTCTTTATTTCTTGCCTCAAATGAACACAAACCCTTACTAAGTGCTCAGGCACTAAATGCACTGTTCTCGATATTGATGAAATCTGTCAAAAACGATGATACGTTAATACCACTGCTTATCAGTCAAGTTCTCACTTGTCCTGCCATTGTATTTCATTTGAACAAAGCGGTTAGTACCACCTTCGTTTGGTGCAGTTCGGCTTGGTGGGGGCATTTTGCTGGTTCCTATTGATAACTGCTGATGCCTCGTGTGGAGACCTTTAAATTGCTGTAAAGCTATGCAATAGCAGAAACTTGCAAGTTTACCCTCGGAAAGAGTCTACAGGTCTCATCAATTTAAGACGCGTAGGAACAGACACGGACAGGATACAGCAAAGGGAACTAGCGAAAGTGCAAAATGCTCCTCCCAGGCCGAACAGCGCTTTTACGTTTAACTACTCCTTTCACTTTTGTCTGATAATCGTGGAATATTTCGATTGCAGAACCTTGACGCGTTTTTATCTTCTGGTCAGTTTGATCGATGTTTGACACATTTGCGGAACTCACCGGACGTTGTGGAAAGTATAGAGCCACAAAAGACTATCAACCTACTAGGAAATGTGATACATTTAGGATATCTGGATGAAGAGGTTGGTCCCATCAGTGAACTTTCTGAGACAGCCAATGCACTCAACCAATCCGTAGGCGTCCTTTCTTTTTAAGCTAGTCTTGGGCTCCAATTTTTAACGGTAGCATGGCCTACCTCGCCCTTGGACTACATCAAGTGGCACGTTGCGTCTTCAGAGTGTCTCTGGCGATCTCTCGCACGCACTTCTCTAGTTGTTCCCATCACAAACCCTAAAACTACAGAGACTAGGCTTCCCTTTTTTCCCTTCACAGAAGATTTCACAGCGTCTGAATGACAGCGAAAAACGAAGAGCCAGGAATGGCTTTGGGCAGCTGCACACTTAAAACTTAATTTATACCGCTTTTACTGGCATAAAGCCAGGCCGCAAAAGCAGGCCGAAAAAATCGTCCAACTGCCAAGTCCTTACTTAGTGGGTTTCCCAAGGATTCTTTTTTTATTTTCCTCCCCTGGATTTAGACTGTAGGTTTAAATCCGCTATCCACAATATGCAATCGCTTTTTTGAGCTTTGAAGAAACGTAGGATGAGTTTGTTTAGACAGTCAAAGGTCGTATCGTCGATTGGACATGGGTCATAGGTTTGGCGATGGCACAGTGTACAGGTACTTAAGTTATTCCATTGAGTCGAATTTCTGACTGTAGCCTTTGTATTTTCAAGAATTTGCTGTTCGACCTGGCGAGCAGTCTAGTCATAATCATTGGCATCCAATTTTTGGTCACTATAAGTTGCCCATTGATCCTAAGTAAGTTGATTATGGAAATGGTACTGTACGTATCTCATCTGAAATCGCTCTAGGACTGAAAGGTCTTTGCGTAACGTCTTGCGTCAATTGCAAATGCTGTGGAGTTACCGGATCGTGTGCAGACTTTTCGATAAAGCGCTTGAAGGAGTCGACCAAAGTCGGCCGAACGGGCATGTGCCTGTGAAAGACCTTGGAGCTACGTTCAACAGTAGGTTTCTTGTAGCGTCTCCCAATCAAGACAAACAACAACTACGTTAGCCAGAGTTACTTACTACCTAGTGATGGGCTCATTAGGGATTTTTGCAGGTGCATACTCAAAATTGGTTAGTACAAAGTTTAGGAAAGTGAGCGGAAGATTCGCCAGACTCCGTGAATTTTTTGTTTTCGTCTTTTTGTCATTGGCTTTTTATTTTCTCTTCTTTTCCTTGGAGTTTTTACTGGTCACTTGTTCATCAACTACCTAGTATGAACAGTCCACTTAAGGGAACTATTTGGAATTTATTACCTCTAAACGATATGGAAATATACTTACATTCAGTGCGATTCTCAGAGTTGAATCATTACTGATTTTTCAGAGCTGTGGAAAAAGTTGGGAGGTGGATCTTCAACGGAACCTCTCGGAGAAACCGAGAAAGAGACCCCACCCACTCTCGCAGCGGTCGTCTGTCAACTCTATATGACAGCATTGTCAACTATGGGTAACATGAAGAACGAGATCATCGCAGGTGAAACATTCGAAATTCTATTCTGTCAGGCTTTCCATAATTTAATGTTGGGCGGGGCGGAGGTGGTATGGTGGCAAATGACGTGCCATACTCCGCGCACGGTCCACAATTCGAATCCTTGATTGTCTCCCGTACAGGCCAACCAGGTTTTCCATCCCTCCATAATCGGTTGCTTGCCGTTAGACTTGTTTAGGGGGGAGGGGATAAAAACACTGACTTGTACATCAGCTGATTTTGAATGTGAGGAGGAGAGCGGCACATTTCGAAGGATTGGATAAAATTGGATAAACCGAGCATTATCCTCGATGTTGACTAATTCTCCATTCATCCAGGAGTTTCACATACATAGAGCCAGTGCCCAGTAGAGGATGCAAAACGTTTTTACTCTCATATAAAACTGAACGGACGATACTACTGTTTTTCGCATAGAACAAAGAGCTGTTTAGGCTAATCAGCTCATTTACCACCTGAAATTTCAGGAGTTTGTCGAGAAGATAGGATTCTGCGGCAACTGTGGTCGTATCTGATCCGATGGGGCGGCGAAGGACGATCGGCAGCTTCCCCATCGACGTCGCCTTCACCACTGAATGCTGCGTTGGCTTTATTATCTCGACCTCAAAGTCCACACGTAGCTCCATTGACGTTATTTGCAGACGCTGCTGCAATTGTGATATCGTGAGTTACCCGATTTTTTTAGCTCCAGAAAAAGGGCAGATGGGGTAGGGGGTCGAAAAATTCAACATCTAGTCAGCTCCTGATATTCTTTGTTCTGTTTTGGTATATATCTACGAATCGTTCTTAATCTTCCCTTTTTTTGTCGCTGTCCTTAGTCTGTTAGTCCTGTGTCCGATCTTTTTTGACTTAATAGGGATTTTGGAATTGAAGAGGAGCTGTACGAACGTGCAGTGCCCTTTCCCTCTCGAGGAACTTGTACATATAGCTCGATTTTGTAATTACTTCTGCTTTCGTGCAGTGTGGAGCGGATTAGTAGGTACGTTATGGAGGTCTTATGAGTCGGTGCCTCTCTAAATTTTCTGTATTTCACGGTTTTTTTTTCTTGATCTGTTAGCTTGACGGTCTTCTAACTATGTTTGTATCTCGGAGTATCCATACCCTGTGCATGGTTCTTCATGTCCGTGACAGCCGCCGCTCTTTCGTGAACGATCCGAAATTTTGGCTAGCTCCGTAAGCGCCTATTCTATGTGAATCTGTTGGGCTTTTAATCTTTGGGATATACTGTAGGATTATTTTCAGTGATGTAAAAGTTCTGTTTTGATGGGGGAGACGTTCGAGAAGCAAAAAACCGTCCAAGGGTTTGCTGTTTGATGCCGTAAACACTGAGTCATTTGATTTGCCGCTCAATAGAAGGATTGCTGTTTGTTCAGGAAGTTTGTTAGCCGCGGATAAGGTGATTCTGATGAGTTATTTATTTGTTTACATTATGTTTACCGTGTTGTTTTCGATCTTTTTCTTGACATTTCTTTTTCGAGAATAATCGATTGGTCTATCGGGCCTCTTTTTGATAATACGCTTCTTGATAGAACTTGTTCTCCCGCTGAAACGCATCACCGGCTCCTGGCCTTTTCAATTCGTACTTTTCAGTCGAGTATAGAATCGTCTGCTACTCTTATCACAGTGGCTCGAAATCGCCTTGTCGAAGATGGTTATCGGCAACTGTCTATGTTATCTACGAGAGCTCTCAAATCCACTATCCGAGTGAAATTTATCAACCAGCAGGTACTAATTTACTTTGCAGTTATTTCATATGTTATATTTGTTGCTGTAATAACACCTTTAGGGTCTTGATGAAGCCGGTATTGATCAAGATGGAGTATTCAAGGAGTTTCTCGAACTAACTATCAAACAAGTGTTTGATCCTGCCTTGAATCTATTCCGTGTGAGTTCTTATATGCCTATGTACTGGTTTTAAGAACATTCAAGTACTTATAGCCAAAAATCATTGTGTTCAGAGTACCGCCGCCGGAGTGCTCTACCCGTCTGCCACTTCAAGTGTCCATGAAGATCATTTGGCACTGTTCCAGTTTGTGGGTAGAATCTTGGCCAAAGCAGTGTATGAGGGCAAATGTTGTCTGTGGTCCCAGTTAGCGCCTGTTTCTACTTGCTGCGTGTGCGTTAGCAATCATATGTCTTTCCTCTGTGTTTCTTCTGCATAACTAGACGAACACAGTAACAATAGCCTAAATAACCTTGAAAGAGGCATTGGAAGGATTCCTTGTGCAAAACTAAGATTACCGCATCAGACACAAGGAACTTTTACCTTGGTCTAGCTCCTGATAGATAAACAACTTCCGAGTACACATTAATCACCATCCCTTATATCTGAGGCTCACAGTTCCGTCCAACAAGTTCTTTGAATAAACTCCAGTTTATTAGCGCCCTCAGGAGCTGCAGAAATTCATATTTTTCAGATGCTAGGTGGACGTCGTCTTTGTGCCTTCGATGAACTATCTCAGCTTGATCCCGAACTTTACCGCAATCTAACCTTTGTGAAGAAATACGACGGTGACGTTAGCGATCTGTCCCTAACATTTAGCATCGATGAGGATTTCATGGGCAAGGTAAGTATGCTAGTTCAGTTCATTCTGACCAGAACACTGTGAATTTACGGTCGTTAGATAAATACTGTGGATCGTGTGTCTGGTGCAGAACGATTCAGGTGTTTAGCTAGAATGAGAACAAGTAAGATTTTGCCATGACTATTATTAGCGATAGTAGCTGGAACTTGCACTTGGATTTTTTTTTTACTTGTAGTTGGATTTTTCATTAAATATGTGATCCCAAGAATTAAAAAGTTGGATGTATTCTACCTTGTTGTATTTCGTAGCTCAGAAACGGGAATAGCATTGTTGATTGAAGTACGTAGGCGCCGTCATTTCCAGAAATGTTTTCCTTTTTCTCCTCATCGAATAACGTAATAGGTTAGCATTTTAGAATCGATTATGTGCATCGAATGGCACATCATCGGGTGTTCTCGCAAACAAAACAGCAATGTCGGGCGTTTGTTTCTGGTGCACAATCCGTTTTGAATCCCGCGGTGGGCTCTGTCTTTTGGCTCCATAGATGTGCTAGTTTATTATAGTGGATACTCTTAAGCGTTGGTTCGCATTCTCAATGATTGCTCAGGCGAAACGTATACGCCGTTATTGGAAAGTCCATTATCGGATCAGGCTTTACTTTATGATACCTTTCCCTTCAGTTTTTTTGGTTTAAAGTCGCGATAGATCGAGTAAAGTGCTCGTCTTCCAACTAAAATTGTTGATGGTGTGCAGAGCTGCTGCCGTCTCAGTCCGCGGCGAGTGCCGGCCTAATTAGGCGTTGCGAGCAGGTCCGTCTCAAAGTGCACTTCAACCGAGAAGTCCTTCTCCTCCTTTGTTTTTTCTTCCTCCGCTACTTCTTTTCCCTTCCTTCCTTTTCTGATCCCTCCTCCTTTAGCTTCTCCCTTCCACTACTGGACTGGTAGATGCCTCGTCTAAATACCTCCGGACCCTCGCAGCGAGAGCACATCTGGTTGACAACAGCCCCGTAACCGAGCATGTCACGATGAGCGCTAACGTTCGCTAGGACCAGTCTGCTCAGCGTAACAGTGCGTTCATCATTCCTCTGACTCTCTTGCGTCTCTCACGTCAACTAGTTCTATGTCTGCGGCCGTCTCAGAATAATTGTCAACCGTGGAGCCTCCCTCCTCCTTCCTTTTTCTTCTCCTTCCTTCTTTTCCTTCCCTCCTTCTCTCCTCCCTCCTCCCTTTCCCTTCTCTCTTCAACTGCTGGACCAGTAGATGGGATGAAAAAAAAAACCTCTGGTCCTTCGTAGCGAGAAATTGCGCTTTGGAGCAAGATCTGTGTAACCGTCTGTGCCATCTAGTCAACTTAACTAGGTAAACTGAGGTTAGTTGACTAGATGGCACAGAATGGCTAGTGCGCCTAGTGGTCGTGATGCAGCGACTGAGAAGTAATGCTCGACACCCATAATTTAAAGCAGGGCACATCGTTGTTGGGAAATCCCCGATAGGGGGAGCTCGTATTTGTCGCCAGAGTTGGGTCGTATGTAGTGGCTGAGAAAAACTGTTATTTGATAGTTGATTTCTCCGCTCATGGTCGTTGTAAAGAGAGGGAGCGGGGTCGTTATTTTATCATGGGAGTCCGCTCGTATATACGTTTTGGCGTTGTAGGAGTGGCGTTGACTCTTGGTGATTTTCCTGTTTCATGCGTACTATATGCCCCTCCCGCTCCCCGTTCCCGCTCGACGGCTCGATTCGATGAGCAAGGACAGAGGGCTTGAGGGGTCGTATAGAGTCGACTAATATCCCAACCAATGATGTGAAAGAGTTCAATACAGTATAAGCCATTCTCTGTTGCAGTGATATCGACCTTGTGGACCTTAAAAAGCATGTGCAGTATTACGGCGGATTTCATGGAAGTCATCGACTAATCAAGTGGTTATGGGAAATTGTAGAAAAAGATTTTACGGCCGATGAGCGGCGACTGTTTCTCAAGGTAAGGTGGCGCTGACATTTTAGAGGTGTCCTACGCTTATAAATAGTTCGAGCAATGTCCGTTGTTAAGTTCGTTACGAGTTGCTCACGTCCACCTTTGCTCGGTTTTTCCTACCTCGAGCCTCCATTTTCGATACGATGTGTAGAAGTTTCTGATGATCAGGTGAGTCTGAGTAAAATTGATATTACACCTGAAACCAATTTGATGATTGCTAATTGACTGCAATGCTAAAAAGGTACACTTAAGAAGTCTCCAAAAGTTTTGAAGCATTTTACATGTAACACTCATGAAAAGCCATCATTATATCATGGTATTCTACCATACTATAATGTTGTTGGTTGTTCCCCTCCCCTTCCCGAACGTTTCTCTCCCAAACATGAAAAAGGCGATGGCTATTATGTGATCATTACTGTTATGTTTCAGGATCAAGGCGATACCTTAGGAAGCGTTGTACGAGGATTTCTAGCGCTCAAGAAAAGTCAGTCGTCATCACGTCTGCCAACTGGTTAGTATTCTCATCTAGTAGATCTTTTTCATTTCTCATTTTGAATCTCCTTTGCTACTATTCTGAAAAAAATTGTTGACGACGATTTTTATCGCGCGAGCTCTCCAGGAAAACTTTTTATCTTTTATTACTGGAGATACCCTGCTCCCCTTCCCTCCATCAGATTCATTTGCTTATCAGGATCACTGAGTGACTACAGAAAGCAAGTAACTAGGTAGGCCCGTGTTCGTGCTTTGGAGAAGTGGAGATTTCGGGAGTGTGAGTGTGCGATTCGCTAGAGGGAGGAGTCGATAGACTCTCATCTGATCCTTGGTCGCGCATTCTCCCGATTCGTCACATATTCTTCACATACATGAAGTTTGAAGGCAGTCCTCAAAAGAAAGTCGTTTTCGAGCCTAGTTACAGCTTAATGAACCTTAATTGTTAGCTGCGGTCCTTGTATGTCTGT